TCTTTCCCTCACTCTCCGTTATCTCTCTCCAGCAAGCACATATGACCTATAGCAAATTAAAAAACAAAACAAAAACGTGGAAAACATCTAGGTTTTTGGTTTCTTTATGAAGTATTGGCTATGGACAAGACACATCTGTAAGTTTAATCTGTATGATGAATATTTCCTCTATCACTTTCTGTAAGTTTCTTAACTTTTAAAACTTATTACTTTTATAATTTTGCTGTGTGCCCTCCAGCGGGGGTAGAGGAGAGAGAGAGAGAAAAGAAACCTGAAAAAGCACCCCTGGTGGAGAGGCAGGGGGAGGGTGGGGGGGATGGCCATGCTGCAATTCCTTCTCTTCCATTCTCTTGGGATTTTGGTCACACACAAATGCGCGTACGCACATGCACACACACACACACAGCTTGCGTGATTATCTAGCCACCAGGTTTAGGACTTGAACTACACAGTAAGCCAAAGTGGGATTCAGCTGCCTTAGCCACCATGCTACCCGCTGGCCCAAACTTCTTAAAGTTAACAAACTGTGTCTTGACTTGATGCCTGTTCTGCAATAAACCTCTACAGCACATGAAGCACCTATGCTTATGTTTGTGGCTGGTTTTCTCCCACCACAGGAGAGTGGAGCACTCACGGCAGACTGTGACCCACAAAACCTAAAGAAGCCACTATTTGGCTCGGAGTTTACCAAACTCTGCTCGACTGACCCACAAGGCAGTAAATAAAGCACTATTGACAATTTCTGTGGAATAAATATTTCTACCAGAGTCAATTTCTTTTTCTTTCTTTCTTTTCTTTTCTTTTGAGAGTTTTTTTCTATAGGGCACGTGCACTCACCAGAAACAGAGACAGAAAGCAAGAAATCAATCCCCAGGGGGGATGGCCATGCTGCAATCCCTTCTCCTTCATTCTCCTCTCAGGATCTTGGGCATGCACGCACAAGTGTTGGGTGTGAGTGTAAGCTAAGCCACCGGGTCCGGGACTTGAACTGCGGTCGACTATGTGGGAGTCCAGCGACATAGCCATTACGCAAACTGCTGTCCCATCTACCAGAGCCAATTTATTTTTCTTTTTTGAAGAGGTTTTTGCTATAGGGTGTGTGCGCTTGCCAGACAGATAAGAGACAGACAGAGAGATAGAAAGCGAGAAATTACCCCCAAGGGGGGATGGCCACGCCGTAATCCCTTCTCCATTCTCCTCTCGGAATCTTGGGCACACACGCACACGCTTCTGGAGGGAGTCTAAGCCTCCAGGTCCAAGACTTGAACTGAGGTCGACTATGTGGGAGTCCAGCGACATAGCCATTACGCTAACTGCTGGTCCCATACCAGAGCCAATTTCAAGCTGCCAGTGAAAAAACCACTAAGTGTGGCATTGGTAAGAGAAGTAAATAACCAAACATCACCAAGCATTATTTCTACCATAATATAGTGTAGTAAAATAATGAGGATGTGTTGAGTTTTAATTATTTACTAAATTTGTTTTAGTGTTTATTTTTCTTTATTTTTAAATGTTTATTATTACCATTATTTTTCAGTTTTTCCTCTAGGGTGTGTGTGTCTGTTGGAGAGAGGGAGAGAAAGTGAGAAATCACCTCCCAGGGGGACTGCCATGCTGCAACCCTTCTTCATTCTCCTCCCAAGATTTTGGCCATGCATACGCACAAGCCCAGTGATTTTTAGGCAGCTGTGTAAGGGACTCGAATCATGGAGTCAGCCATGTGGGGATCCAGCATCCTCTCACCCCCGCCCATGTCCTCTTTT